GGCCTCGATGGCGCCGTCGGTGGCTTTTTGGAATGCTCCAAATTCGCTTCTTTTTGCATCTTTTTGTTCTATTGATCTTAATTTATCATTCCTGTAATAAAACATCAAAAATATCTTTATTTAAAGTGTAATATCATTAAAAACAGTATAAAAGATGTACGAAAATTTCAACATATTTTACTTTGGTCACCATATTCCGATGATGTGGGTCTATATTTTAAAAGATTGATCAGAAGCTGCTGTCAATTTCAAAGACTTTCACACCTTCATTTTAATCTAATTCAAAACTCTTATTCAAGTCTTTCGAACTTACAATGATCATGAATTTTTTTACACTAGATTAAGAGAATTATTGGTAAGACATCCTCCATCATAGCTTATGTACCTACACTTAACTAAATAGGGTAGTGTAGATAAAAAATTGACATCTCCTCGACTTACTTGCTCCATTATGTTTCACTCTAATGTCCCAAAACGTTAAAGGGAGGAGGATCGAAACTGCTAATCTGGTAGGCGGGCTCTTCTTCTTGCAAGAGAAAAGCACGGAGAATGATGACACTTCACTCAATAGTTCCAATTTATCTAAGTCCATTGAATGTCCTATTATCTTGTTTTACTGTCATTTGGGTTATCCTATTTTCCAGTTTTTAAAATAATTGTATCTGTTGATGTTTAATAATAAAAATTCTTCTAATTTCACTTGTGAAACCTGTCAGTTATCTAAACGTTATCATGTTTCTTATCCACCCCAAAATTGCACACCTTCCGCTCATTTCTCTCTTATCTCTCTTATTCACAGTGACTTATTCACAGTGACTTATGGGGACCCTCTCACACTTCTAGCTACACCAATAAATTATGGTTTCTTATATTGATTGATGATCGTACTCTGATGACGTGGGTCTATATTTTAAAAGATGAATCAGAAGCTGCTGTCACTTTCAAAAACTTTCACATCTTCATTTTGACCCAATGCAAAACTCTTATTCAAGTTTTGAACTTACAATGATCGTGAATTTTTTAACTCTAGATTAAGAAAATTATTGGTACGACATTCTCCATCATAGCTTATGTACCTACACTCAACTTAATAGGGTGACAGAGATAAAAAATTGACAACTTCTTGACTTGCTCCATTATGTTTCACTCTAATATCCCAAAACATTTTTGCAATAATGTCATTCTTATCGACACTTATTTCATCAATAGATTTCTCTAAAAAATTCACAACTTCCGTACCCATTTAGCCGTCTTGAGATCGTGCTTTCCTAACAATTGGTTCTTCTCCACTTTAAATTCAAAAATTTTTGTGCGCGCAACTTTTGTTAGGAACACGACCCAACTCGGAATAAACTTGATCCCTGGTCTAAAAATTGAGTTTTTATCAGATACTCTGCCACTCAAAAGGTGCATCGATGCCTTGACCCAACCACAAATAAGGTCTATGTGCGTGTCGATGTCTTCTTTTTTGAAAGTGTCCCTATTTTTCTAACTTGTCCTCGAGTGAGGGAGAGCTAGAGTTCTTGGACACTATTTTTTTACCCTATTTCTATGGATGTTTCCCCCACGTCACCTACCCTTGAGGTACCCTCTGTTTCCTTGATTCTGCCCACTTCTGCTACCACGAAGAAGCCCTTTATTCCTTTGGTTCCACCAACACATCCTCTCATTCTCCTTATCCACACTCGATGCACTCGTTCTAATGCACCTACTCTAGAGTTGCTAACCCCTTATTGGACCTGAATTCCTTTTGGACAATGTTCCCAACACTGTTCCAACTCCAAATGAGGAACTTGTTTCTTCTAGTAAGGTACACAATCAAACATGATCTCTTTATTCCATGGCAAACTATGTATCTTTTTGTGGATTATCACCAACCTACAGAGCATGTGTTATGGTCCTGACCAATCACCAGCTTCCATCTACTATTGAGGTTGCCTTAACAAACCCGACTTGAAAAGCTGCCTTCATGGAGGAGATGAATGCCCTTCAGCAGAACCATACTTGGGATATTGTTGATCTTCCTCGGGGCAAGAAAGTAGTGGGATGTTGATAGATTTTTAGCATCAAGTTTAATTCTGATGGATCCTTTGAACGCAACAAGGAACGATTGGTCGTCAAAGGGTACTCACAGTTCTATGGAGTTGACTATATGGAGACATTTGCTCCAGTTGCTAAATTAAACACCATGCGATTCCTCTTATCCCTTGACATGAATCTGGATTGACTCTTATCCCAACTTAATGTCAAGAATGTGTTCCTGAATGACGATCTAACAGAGGATGTATATATGGTTCTTCTTCCAGGCTTTCACTCCACTTTCTCAAGGACAAGTATGTAGGCAACGAAAATCCCTCTATGGATAGAAACAATCACCACAGACATGGTTCGGGAAATTCACAAAGGTGGTGGTAGGCCATGGATCACTCGAGCTCAATTGAACCACACTCTCCTCTTCCGACATTTTTCTAATGATCAGGTAGCTATCCTAATTGCTATGTTGATGATATTATTCTCAAAGGTATTGATCTACCAGCATTGGAGTTTATGAAAGACATTCTTGTCGCTTCCTTTGAAATGATCTCAGTGAAAATATGTGATTGACCTTTTGATAGAGAACAATTTCTCTTTTGCAAACCAGCGGCTGTCCCAATGGATTCAAATGAAAAACTTCTTGATGCTTTCAATGCAATTCTTTTAAACAAGACTCACTATCAGCATCTTGTAGGGAAACTCATCTACATTGCTCATACACGCTCCAACATATGCCACACAATTGGGATACTAGATCAATTCATGCATGATCCCTATAAGCAACATCTTCAAGCTTTGTATCGGATTCTTTACTATTTAAAAGGTACACCGGACTCGGATTTGTTTTTTCCCGCAACACCTCTTGCTTTATTGCAGTTTACATAGACGTGGATTGGGCCAGGTTCGTCTATGATCGGTGATCTACCTCGGGGTACTACTCATTTTTCTAGGGAAACTTGATCAGAAAAGTAAGAAGTTGTTTGTAGTTGCTCGAAGCAGTGCAGAAGCTGAATTTCGGTCCATGCCCCTTGGAATTTGTGAAACTCTCTGGTTAATCATGCTCCACGAATTACGTATTACAATCTCCGTTCTCCTACAGTTGGTCTGTGATAACAAGGTAGTCATTAACATTGCTCACAACCCGGTCCAGCATGATCGCACCAAGCATGTTGAGATTGATTGCACTTCATTAAGAAAAAGCTTAAGTCCGGGGAAATTTGTGTTCCATTTGTGTCATCTAGTGGCCAGCTGACAAATATTCTCACAAAGAATCTTCCTCGGCCACTGTTCGATGATTTCAAATCCAAGTTTAACATGACTGACATCTATATTTCAACTTCAGGGGCAATGTTAGAATATTTATTAATAGCGAGTGTTAACCATTATTGATTTATATTTATTATGAGTTATTAGCTTGAATTCTTTATTTTTTCTTTCCTTTTCTAGTGTATCTCATTTTTATTTCTTTCCTTATTAGTAAATCATATAATGGGTATTTATACTCCTTTTTGCGTCAATAAGATTTGCCTCCGGTTCTATCCTTAAGGTTAACAAAATATATTAACATGGTCCACCTGTTGGTAATTTTTTGGGCTCTACTACAAGACATGATGGATACAAGAGCACCTCGTGACACGGGAGCCTTGGAAGCTGCTCGATCGGGTGGGAGGTGGGAATAGGATTTTCCGTCCCATGAAAAACTATAGCAGGAATTCTACAGTCTACCATGGATAGTAGTTCAAGGTTCTTGTGGGCAGGGCCCTATTAGTATATTTTGATTTCTAATTAGGGTTTCATTTGTTTAGTATCAGCATGTTACTTAAAATTGCATACTTAAAATCTAATTGGAGGACTTCTTCCTTGGTTTATATTATTGGGAGACTTTTTCTGCCTTATTTCATCTCTTTGAAGAGGTGTAGCATATTTTTCTGGAAGCGGTGAATCTTTATCTTGAATAGAATAGCTAGTGGAACCTCACCATCATCTGTATTTCGCAGTTTTGCCATTTGCATTGCTGCTTTCTGGTCGGACAGCCGCGAACTGCTGTTTCGGCATCTAATTCGCTGTCTAACCACAGTTTTTTTGCCGTTCCTCAACCTCCTTTCGCATTTCCTTTTTCGTTCCTTGTCCTATAACCTTCCTTACCCAACTCTCCTAGCCTTCTCACACCGACTAGTTGCCCTAATTCGCCATCACATGATTGATTCTTTCATGATTAAACCCTAGTTTATTATAAGCCAGTTTTTAACTTGCATAGACAATGTTGTTAATCAAAATCAGAAACGGGCTGTTGATCTCTACCATAAAACCTCTTTATCCATTGCATGACTTTATTATGAGTGCACTTTGCATTTATTTCACAAGAAATTATGAATCATGTATATACATAATCTCTTATACACGTGAAAAGCTTCAATCCAAATAAAATCTATTTAGTTTTAATCATAAAGATTCATATAATCACAAGATGCTCTTGATACAACTAGAATTTCCTAAGCATTACAGTCTTTTAACTAATAACCAGTAGTGCTAATCACTTACTTGTAAATTACATGGATGATAACTTTAGTGTTAAGAATCATGGATCCAATTCAAGGTTATATGCAGTTTATATTATAAAACATAACATTGCCCCCTGGCCTCTCTCACTCTGATTTTATAAGTATATCAGAAACCATTGATCTTATTTGTAACTTCAAATCATTTATATTTGAAAGCCACTTTTGTACAAAGCGATCTCTGTGCATTTCTACATTTGGCATGAACTTGTTTCAGCTTACCATTATGGTAAGCCTAAACATACGGGTTTAGTATATTTTCATCTTTCTAGGTAAACCATGTTCCTCCATTCTACAAACGCACAAGATCTCATTTATAATTCTACTTAGATAAAGTTCAGAACCATTAAAAATTTTCTTGGAAACATAATGACATATTCATGCATTTGTGAATCTGATTCTTTACAGTTAATGGATCTGGTCATGGAAAATGGCGAAGATTTCCTCGGAATTCCAATGGAAGTTAAGAGAGAGATGCTACTTAATCTTTATGAAGCATCTGCCATGGAGCTGCCTGAGGATTGTGAGGGTCCTTCTGCAGAGCAGATAATGGTGCAACTTGCTTCAGCTTGGGGAATCAACATTCAGCAGCTTATAAAGTAATTTCTACACTTTAATTGCATTTATTTTTTTGGTACCGGGCTTTTTTATAAAAAGTTATTTGTTGAATAATGAACCTTCTGGAAGCATCTACAATGGAGCAACTTGAGAACAGAAGTGGTTCCTCATCTTGGTGGAATCAATGTCCAGCAATTATATAGTAAGGTTTTCTTCAGAAGATGCGTTTTCTTCTTTTTTTTTATTTTTTTATTTTTTATTTTATCTGTAATGAATCTTTTTGGTATATTTTCATAGAATTCTGCCTGAATTTAGGGACATTACTATTACTATGAGGTTACTTATTTTCTTCATTGCTAGATTCTAGAATTCTTCAATAGCAGTGCACACTAGGATTTGGTTTCCAATAATGTTCAAACTGTAAGAGGAACCTGCATGTGGTTGAAAACTATAGCTTTTGCTGCAATTTAATCAAGAGGTTCAAAGTAACTTAGAGAGATGAGCCATGGCCAAAATAGAAAGGAAGATTTACATACATACCACCCAACTCTGATGTACTTACATCTCTAACACCTTAACTTCAATTTTTACTTACACATCACCTTACCTAGCATGAAAAGGTGTATTTCACTTTTTGAAGATAAGAAATGATTGTATTTTTTATGTGATATGAAAGATTTTGGTGGTATAGAAGTAAGGAAAAAAAGGCATTTACATAGGAATCAGGTTGTAAATGCTAAAAAAAGGGCATTTACATATCTATCATCCATAATTCTTCACCTTTTTTCATGGTATTCGAGCTTCGAGCTCAATTTCGACGAAATTATAGCAGCTTTCATCATCTGACTTTGGCTTGGACTGGATTGCTCGTCCGTGTCTATTGGTGCTGCTGAAGGCTAGACTGGATTGTTTAGAGTTTTGTATACATACAATTAGAATATGGCATGATTCAAAGTAGAAGAATCATCCATTGTGTTAATATTGCAAGAAACTTAGTCACACAAATGATTTGTGATGGAAAATATATGGGAAACCTGCAGATTGGAAACCTGGACAAAAGAGGATGGACCAATACAGTAAAGTTTCACCAATGAATAACTAGAGGTGTTCGTGAAGCTTCTTATTAGCATGACTAAGCAACCTTCTAGCTTGATGATACACTAATGTATCATATCCTTCTAATAATGGAAGATTTTGACTTTGGATAATAGATTCAGGTGCTTCTGATCACATGATTGGAGACATTCATGTTCTTACCAATTACCACAAGATCATCGTATCTAAATTTGTTAGACTTGTCGATGGATCTAAATCCAGGAATATTGGAAAAGGAGAAATGTAAGTCCCCAAAGATATTCAATTTTTTTTGTGCTATATGTTCCCCAATTAGATTGCAACTTGCTTTAAATTAGCAAGCATACTCTTGACTTGAATTGTGTTAGTAAATTCCATTCCAACTCTTATGAATTTCACGTGGTGGATTCGGGAATATGATTGACAAGGTCTATACGTGCTCAATGATAGCTATTCTCTTCACACACAAGTGCTCTATTTGTCATCATCTTCCCATGTTTTTGAGTTTGTTGTGTCTGAGTCTGTTGAAAGTTAAATTTTATTACAACATCATCATCGATATCATCTCAATTTTTATTTTGTTGTAAAGTTGTACCCCATCTCTTTATTATGAAAAAGTCAAGGCTATCAGGGTCAAACATGCCAATTGGCTAATCATACTTCTCATGTTTATTCTTTATCTCAGTGTAAACTCTCACATTCTTTCTTTATTGTCCACAGTGATATTTAAGCGAAAATTAGAATTGCAAAACATCAATTGAGTCAAAGGGTTTATCTGCTTTATTAATGATCACATTAGAATTAATGGGATATTGGCATGAAGGAGAAATTTGAAACTACACCAATTTCTCATTCATTTCATCACAAGATTTACACTCAGTTCAAATGCAACATTCAGATTCTTAAAATTGATAACACAAAGGAATACTTCAACTCGATCCTTGGACCTTGCAAAGAATTATATCATCCATTTGAGTTCCTCTGTTGAGACTCCATAATAAAATAGGATAGCTGAGAGGAAGAATATACTTCTCCTCGAGGCATCTAAGTTTATAATACTTTCTCATAATGTCCCAAACGTTTTCCAGGGAGATATAATGCTCATATCCTGCTCAAGTAGGGGTCTTGGATTCAAAGCCCCTCTCAATATTTTGATGGAAACATTCACTCATGTTAGAGTCTTCTCATCCAATCATCCTCGAAAAATATTTAGTTGTCTCTTTTGTTCACATTCACCAACCAAATCGCACAAGCTTGACATAAAATCCATCTAGTTTAACTTCTTTGGTTATGCTTCTACAAGAAGAGGTACAGGTGGTATTCCTCTCTCTCTCTCTATATATATATATATTATATCTCCATTGATATTATTTTCTTTGAAAAACAATCCTACCCCAAATCTAAAATTCAAGGCGAGAGTTTGCGTGGATATCATATTTGGGATACTACTCTAGATACCCATACTGATCTAGAGTTATCACAACATATTCTACTTTAATCTCTCTCAAGATCTTGTCTCCCAAGTTCCACCACTTGAAAATGTCCAAAATGAGATGGACAACAAGGAAATGCACAAGGAACTTCATGTGTACACTAGAAGAAAAAAACACTGATCAGGATAAAGCTAATATGCAACCATAAGATTGTTTTTAACAAAACATGAATTTACACATCTCTAAAGGTCTAACGGAGGTGAAATCCAGTAGAGAAGACGGGTATACAAATTATGTTATCCAAGGGTATGTTTCTTAGAGGAAGTTATCTTTACCTTATAAATCTTTTGTATCTAATCTTGATAGTGTGTAGATACCTAAGTCATGAAGCACTTCAAAGTCCATAATGGAAAAAAGGCAGTTGAATAGAAGATTCAAGAGCTTGATCTAAATGCCTCATAGAATTTTACAAAGCTTCCTCTAGATAAAAGACCCGTTGGGTGCAAATGAGTACAAAGCAGATGGGAGCATTTAGAGGTTCAAGATTAGGTTGGTGGCTAAGTTTCATTCAGTCGTATGGGATACATTATCAAGAGACCTTTGCACTATTGATCAAGTTAAACACTGTAAGACTTTTTTCCTTGATAATGTACAAAGAGTGGGAGTTGCATCAACTTGATATCAATAATGCATTTTTGAATGAAGATCTTGAGGAAGAAGTGTATATTGAGATTCCGCAAGGATTGAAAAATGACTCAAATAAACATTTGGTTTGTAAACTAAGAAATGCACTATATTGCCTTAAATGATCTCTACAGTCTTGGTTTGATAAGTTTACCAAGTCTATCAAATATAATATGGGTGCATTCAATGCCAAACTGATCATAAAGTATATACAGGGAGATAGGTAACCTATACTCATTGTTTATGTTGATGATATGATCTTGATAGGTGATGATGAAAATGATATTGAGATGATTAAGGAGGTTCTTGTCATTAATTTTGAAATTAAGGAATCTAGAAGTTATGAGATACTTTCTGTGCATAGCAGTGTCCATGTTTGAGATGGGGATTATGATATCCTTAAGAATGTATATTCCAACCCTACTAAAAGAAACAATCTTGTTAGGGTATAAACCTGTTGATACTTTAATTTATTTCATTTAAAAAGTTACATTCAGGGGGAAAAAATACACCGGTGGAAAAAAAGTAGATACCAGAGATTGGTGGGTAAGCATTTCTACCTGTCTCACACTAGACCTGATATCGCCTAGTTTGTTGGCATCATGATTCAACATATGAATAGTTCAAATGAAGACATTTGGAGATGGTTTACATAATCTTGAGGTTTCTTAAGAAGACCTCTAACAAAGGGTTAGTAATTTAAGAAATCAGACAATAGGAAAGTAGAAGTTTACATCGATGTTAGTTTGGCAAGGGTCACAGACAAAAGATCCACATTTGGGTATTATTTCTATGCATGGTGAAATATTGTCATATGGAGAAGCAAGTAGCAAACAGTGATTTTTAGTAGTGCATAATTTGAGTACCAGATTCTTGCTTTGGGAATTTGTGAAGCATTGTAGATCCACATATTAATTTTAGAAACCAGACAACAGGGAAGTAGAAGTTTACATTGATACTAGTTCGGCGGGATAATTAACAGACTTAAGATCCACATATGGGTATTGTTTCTATGTAGGGGGAAATTTTGTCACATGGAGTAGTAAGCATAAAAAAAATCCCATCAAGTTTTTTCTGGCGACTCCACTGGGTAGAGTTCCTCTCTCCATCTCTAGTTATATCTTAATATTTCTTTTCATTCGTGACATGTTTATCATTCCCTTCCGAGGATTTGACTATCTATTATATAAAGGACAACTTTAATTGAGTGTTTTCTCAAAAGTATTTATTGAGATGTAATTAATTTTGAGGGAGCCCCTCATAGGGTTACCAAACCCAATAATTAAAATAAACTTTATCTTATATCCGTAAGATAATGAAAAGTTCCTGATTCCGCAGATTCATGAATTACAAAGATTTTTCTCATCTGAATGAGTAGATCTAGTTGTTTTTAGTTGTGCAGAATTCAAGTACCAGGTACTTGCTTTGGGAATTTGTGAAGAAATTTGGATCCAAATGTTACTAAATGAGGTTAGATCCAAAGGGGACTAGATGAGGTTGAGATCCTTCACAGTCATTCCCATAAAGATGTTATGCAACAGTCAAGTCACCATTAGAATTACAAAGAACCTTGTGCATCATGACAGGACCAAACACTTTGAGATTGATAGACATTTTATCTTGAAAAGGTCAATGATATTATTCACTTAATCTACATTCAAGTTTATCTTACGGGGGAGTGTAAAATTTTGTACCTATTAGATGGACCTGATGGATTTCCATATGGGCCCCATGATAAATTTGTGGAAGCTATTCGAGGGGGAGTTTTTTTATTTCAGTTTTAATAATTTCTATTGTGTTTTTCATTATGTTACATGTCTTCTCTTTTCTTTTTTTTTTTTTTTTTTTTTTTTTTTTTTTTTGTTTCCTAGACATTATCTTATATAATAAGGGGAAATGTTGTGACTTGGTTGAGCAGAATAAGAAAATATGGTTCACCTATCTTCACATTAACTTCACATTAAAAGTATCACTATTGTTTAAATACATCTAGTTATTCATATTTTTATGACACCAGTGTAATAAATGTAAATATAAATGTTTAGGTGTCAGATATGTAAATACAAAAGAATTGTGTGGTTTGTATGTAAATATTTCAAAAAGAAAATGAAAGTCTCAAAGTGGAGTTGATTGCATCACCAAATAACATGAATCAATGGTTCTTTCTGTTT